TCCATCCTCTGTGAATATACTTCCGGGGTACTTAAATTCTTGGACCTGTCTGAGACTGGTGTTGTTGATGTGTATCCTCAACTTTGTGTCTTGTTCGCCATGCCAATATCTCGGCGAACATCTTGCCCACATTGCTTAGCAGTGAAATGCCTCTACACATTCCACAGTCTCTCTTACTGCCTTTCTTCTTCCAGATTGGTACTACGGCCGCTTTTTGCCAGTCGCCGGGAACTTTTCTTTCTGTCCATGCTTTCTGGAAGATTTTTCTGAGCCAAGTTATTCCAGTTTCACCACATGCTAGGATGGTCTCCGTGGTGAGCTCATCTATTCCTGCGCTTCTGTTGTTTTTTTTTGTTGTTGTTGTTTTTGGTTTTTTTTTGGGGGGGGCTAGTTTTAACTGCTCGTCTGACCTCTGATGGTAGGATGGTTGGTTCTTCTTTCCCTGGGTGACGGTTGGAATTTTTTGTTTGATTGCTTTTGACTAAAGTTTTGAGAAATATTCTCTCCATCTAGATTTGATTTTGGAGCTGTCGATAATGGGGTTTTCTGTTTTGTCATTAATTATAGTTGTTGGGTCGTACGGTTCTTCTCTGAGCCTCATTGATTTTACACTTCTGTAGAAGTCACCTGGTGATTTATGGCCAAGTTCGCTAAGGTGTTTTCCATTTTTTGTCCAAGATTCGTTTTTTGATGCTCTAACAACTCTGTTGCAGTTCCTTCTTGCTAGTCTGAATTGCGTGTAGTCGTTTTCGTCCTTAGATTTTATCCATTTTTGAAAAAGTTTCTTCTTTTCTTTGATGGCCTCTTTAAAGTTGTCATTCCACCATGGTATTCCTTTAATGTATCCTCTCCCAATTCTCTTCTTTCCACTTACATCAGTGTTTCTGTTAGCAAGTATTAAAGAGAGTCCATGTTTCTTCAACGTTCATCGAACTGGTGTCTTGGTTTTATAGTCTCTTTGTGATCTCGTCCTCAACTTTCTGCACATTGCTCTCTTCGTTGAGTTTTCGTAAATTAATTTTCTCTGAATGTTTCTTCTTCTGTTTTCGCATGGGTCTTTTTTTTCTCTTTACTCGTCATCATCACTGGTCGGAGATCTGTATCAAATGTGATGTTTGGGATTGATTTTGCATCAGTTGTTTTTGTTCTATGAAGTCGATTTGTGAGGAAATTCCTAGATTGTTTAATGTGTAGCACGACTGAGTTTGAATTGGCCTGTGCTGGTAAAATGTATTTGTGACGTATAATTCATACTCTGCACAGAGAGCTAATAGTTGTTCCCCATTATAGTTATAATCTGAACTGGTGTCACCGTGTGGTCCAAGGTAGTTTTCACATGGTGTTCTTCTTGGGCCTACGTGTCCATTGAAGTCACCCATTATTTCTTGGTTGTTCTAGGTTACATAGTGACTAACAATAGGCCTACTAAAACTGACTAATATCATTCTGTTACCAGGGGTGGAAATCTCCTTTTCTGACCTTTGACCCGTGAGAACATTTCATCAAGAGAGTGGGGAGCAGGCTATAGATATTGACCTCTCACTTGTACACGTACGTTGCTTTTCCTTTATCTTTTACGTACTCTTTGCTTTGAAAAAGTCGCCGAGTTCAGGGTGGCCGATCTCACTCCTTGACAGCATACGTGCAGAGATCAGTTTGTTCCCACCCAAGCCCTCCCCCACTTGTAATCTTTAAAAATGCATACTCTTTGTGTTACAATCAATGTCCTTGAACTTTTATTTTGCCTATTAGGCAACAAAATGTCGTTCTTCTCAAAACTTCAATTTTCTATAGCTTTTTCTCATCTACTTTTTTATTTTATTTTTGATACCAAGGAAAGTTCCAGTGCTTGCTATTCACACCATAACCTAACTTTAGACAGACGGAAAAGTAAATCGCTGCATTCATAAGTTCATTCATAAACATGGATGATTATCTAATCGAATTCAGAGGCATGAAGGGGTAGCTCACTTATCTATCTCTAACTCTTTTCCTATTCAAGATATCCAAGAACCCAAATGTATAAAATATTGTATCGAGTATATCTATCACTGCACCTGTTCAATGTCGTTTACATTACAATAATAATAGGACTACCTCTTCACTAGACTAGATGAAACCACAGCCCTGAACAGTTTACTTAGTGACTACTAATAAGCCTACTATAACTAATATCATGCTGTTGCCCGTGGTGAAAATATCCTTTAATGACCTTACCTTTCACTTGTCAGAACATTTCCTCATGGAGACTTAATGTCAAAAGAAGTGAGGAGAAGGTTATAATTATTTACCCTTCATTTCACAAAGCTTAAAAATGAAAGAGGGGGG